CAAAGTTTTGTTGATAGTAGCACTGACTACTAAACAGGTCGTGCTTTATTATTATCTTCCTATAGGGAAGTATAAATTAGCAACTGTTCCAGAGTCTGTGAGAAGCTCTGTAGCAGTTGCTAATTGATGCTCCTTGGCATCAGCCTGGCTTGTGGCTGAGCAGAACTCCCTCTGTGGGAGCGCACTGACCATCAGGGGTCAGTTCCTGCATTGAGCGTCTCCCCCCTGGTGTCAATGTGTGTCATAGGGACCAGTCATTCCCTGTCGTTCTGCTATTATGGTCAATTTGCATATTACCCTTTTATTATATAGGATATCTTTCTCACCAGCCCCCAGCCAATGCCTTTTTCTTTTAGAAATGCCTTCAGATCCAACCATCCAACCAGAATCCTTCGTCTTTCACTCTCATATGTTCTCGGCCACCCAGGCTGAGCAGGTACCACTGAGTACATCATTAGTCTCTTGTGTCCTCCTGTCCTTCTTTTCCCCAGAGCTACTTGGGTCAAGCAGGTAAGATAAGTGGAGTAAGATGTAAGCACCTAGTGCACAGTAAATGTTTAACAAGTTACTGTTCCCTCTGACTTCTTCCCTTCTCTTGTGTTCCAAGTTCTATCAGTCAAAAGCAACCGCCAAATGAATATCCATCGATGGTCTCTACATGTAATTCAGTAGTGGCTGTCCGCGCCCTCCCAAGAGATTGGTCTAACATATTTTTTTTTGTCCAAGGCAATTCTCCCCCCCACCCCCACCCCATCCCAGGCCTCAAGCATCTGAATCTGTGAAATAAGAGACTTTGTCTCCACAGTCTCTTTGGTCCCTTTCTGGTTCTGGTGCTTTTTTACTCAATGGAACCACATTAGGTGGGTATTTAGTTTGCACTTGGCATCATGCTAGGCGCTGGCAGTGCTAAAGTGAACAAAGCATGGTTCATGCCCTCGAGGAGCGTGTTCTAGCTGGACAGATATACAAAATACTGTTACAATACAAGCAGCAGCTCCAGAATTAACTTACTGGAGGGACTGTTGGAAGGCATGGAACAAAGGGCCATGATGACTTCGATTATTTGCTTTACAATAGCAAAGTGTCCCAAATACATTGTTTATTAACATGTTACATAGGACTGAGAAAATGTTGGTTATCTTTAAAATATGGAGTGGCTTCCTGATGAACTAATTGAAATGTTGAGGGGCAGTTAAAGGTCCCCCATGCCACCTTCCCCTTCCCTGTCTCCGGCATTGCCACACATTCAGTGCACTTTGGGTATTTCGTAAATGCTCACCTCTGGGTAAGAACTAGGTTCATCTTACAAAAATAAGTTAATAAATAAACGGAGGGTGAGATGGGGTAAAACACTGACAGCCCAGCATAGAAGCTTCAAGCAAGGAAGTGGCATGGAGGGTGGATGGGACCTGCTGGTAGCCCAACCTAGGGCTATACCTAAGAGACTCTACCTCAACAAGGCAGTCTGAGCTTCAGTCTTTTTTCCTCACATGTTTGTTACTAAAGGTTCTGCAAGATGGTAAGTCGCTGACCTTGCTTCTGTCCTTTTTTTTTGGCCGGAGGTGGAGGAGGAGGAGTTGTTGGTGGTGGCATCAGAGAGGAAGACAGGTGTACTGCTGATTTTTCCAGGCTCTTTTCCAATTCTTTTCCCTCATTATCTTCTTGCACTTTATTTTCAAAGAATGTCCTTAATGGCAAGAAAATATGGCGGTAGAGGGGCATATTTAGGGATATCCCGTGTAGTTTTGGTCATGTTTTAGTGCTGACCCCCAATATGTTTTAATAATTAACTCTGCTTTTTAGCTACTTAAGAACAATCAGCTTCATTTTCCAAGGCCAAAATACAATGGCGCTATTATGAAACAGTATTCAAGAACTGAAATTAATTTTGGCCTGGAAATAAATGTTTAAAGATTTCAGCCTTGTTTTTAAATTATTTGAGATTTGATTCTATTTGTAAAGTAAATTTGAAGATGTAATTTGATTAAGGGCTATTGAATTTTCTTTTCCAATAAATGACTGTCAGAAGAAAAAAAAAATGAGTCAAGAATAGAAAATTAAGTATATAGCACTATGTGCAGGACTTCTTTTTTGGAGGGTGGGGCTTAAAAACTTTCGGGAAATCTCACTTAGGCACATCTATATAAAATTTCAGTCACACAGAAGAAAAGAGGCTAAAAGTTCCCGTAGACAAAAAAGCATCAATAAGTCAACAAAGACGGGGGAATCTGATTTGCATTAGACTAATTAATAATCCAGACGCTGGTGGGGCAGTGACGTTAAAGTGCTGAGAGAAATTGATTTTAAATAAGGATTCTATACTCAGTTAAACTGTCAACCATGAGAGCAAAGTGCTGACATTTTCACACATGTAAGAACTCAAAAACTTTACATCCTTTTCTCATTCTTACTTTTAAAGGATACAATCCAGCAAGTTAAGAAAGAGGAGGACCTGGGATCTGGCAATAGGAGAACAAGGAAGGGATGTCTTACGGCATCTCTGCAGCAGGCCTAGAGAGGAGCCAGTCCAGATGGGAGGCTTGGGGAAGGAAAGCTCGAGAAAAGAAGTAATGTACAGAATAGAAGGTATGAATAATAACAGGAACCCCCCCTCCCCCACACACACACCAAAGGAATGAGTGTAATAGCATTCCGAAACCAAAAACTAATTTTATAAAAAGGTTTTTACAAGGGTCATGATCCAACTCTGAGCAAACTCAAATATAATGTTATGTGCAATTTAGCAGGGGATGAAGCTTAGAGAAACAGAATCCAGTTGACTTTCATATGGCCAAGAGATGGTGGCACTGGACCTGCACAAAAGGAAAAGTAATGCTAGCCTCCACTTCACTGGGCACTGGACAATACTCACAAAGCCCCACTAAACAGTCCCTTGGTTTTCACATTTCAGAGTCAACTGATGGGCAAGGTATGGAAGACCTGCTTGTGTCTGGAGGACAGAAAATAAGCATCACTCATTCATTGTGACTATATGGAAGGCTATGGGACGCTCAGTGAGGGTATATGGGGGGGGGGGGGGGGGACCTCAACTCCAATCTTAATTCTGTTCCTGAGAATCTTTTTACTGAATCCGAAGGAAGCTCAATGCACGAAAAGAGGTTGGCACTCCTTATGTAGCCTTACACTGCAAAATTTTAATAATGGTTTTCAGAAGAAAAGCAACATTTTCTGCTAAAGCTGCTTCTTAACTGACTAACTGCTGTATCCTATGGATATGAGAGACCTGTTTTATTGACGGGTGAATGGAAAGGAAACATATGTATTTATACCACACACTTACATTTCTTTCTTTCTTTTTTTAATCCTCACCCGAGGATATTTTTCCATTGATTTTTAAAGAGGAAGTGGAAGAGAGAGGGAAAGACAGAGAGAAATATCGATGTGAGAGAAACACATTGATTGGTTGCCTCCTGCACATGCGCCACCAGGGCTCAGGCCAGGGAGGAACCTGCAACCGAGGTATGTGCCTTTGACGGGGATCGAACCCAGGACGCTTCGGTCTGCAGGCCGATGCTCTCTCCACTGAGCCAAACCGGCTAGGACTGCACACTTACATTTCAAAGTGGAAGACTTACCTGAGCACCTGGTCCACCTCAGCCTGGTTGGAGGGCTCTAGGCCCTGAAGCTCCTGGGTGATGTTTTCATTGACCCACCGCACAGCAGTGCTGACGGCATCCAACCTCTCTGCTTCCATCGCTTCAGCTAGCTCGGGCACAGCGTTCTCGTAGACTTCGAAGTGAGTCGCCATCATCACAGAACAAATGTACTGAAAAGAATACAACGTGTTCTACAATTTCTCTACCTCTTGCAGAAAATGGGAGATGTATCTGGCTTTTGATGTGCATATTTTATCCCTACTTTCAAAGGGAAAATGAGGATATATAATTTTCCTTGAGGTATTTTTACAGCTACTGAAATACTATGGAACACAACTTCAGGGGACACTTAAAATTATTGCCTTGTTAAAATCCCCTTAGGCCCTGGCCAGTGTTGCCCAGTGGTTAGAATGTGGAACCACACACGGAAGGGTCGCGGGTTTGATTCCTGGTCCAGGGCGCATACCTGGTTGCAGGTTCAATCCCCAGCCCCAGTTGGGCCAGCCAATCGACGTGTCTTTTTTTCTCTCTCTCTCTTTCCCCCTCCCTCCTTCCCTTCCATTCTCTCTAAAAATCAGTGGAAAAAAATATCCTTGGTTGAGAATTAGCAGCAGCAACAACAACAAAATCCCCTTAGAAAAACCTTATATTTAAGCTCATTTTTATCAGTAGCTCTCCAATAAATAGTGAAAAGTATGCAAACAGATTTAATCGTAATTATTTTCCTTCCAGAAACTACAGCAAAATTGCTTCTAACAATGCATAGGAATTACTAAAATGTAGCAATTAAAATGAATTATTAAAATTGTGAAAATGCATTTTTCTTTTGGTAGTTCACTCTGTATCTCTCTAAATCTACATAGAATCTAGATATAAATATATCAATCCATAAACCTATCTGTAGATTGATGGAACTCATCATCATAATAATGTCAGGTTTTCAAAGGATTTTTGCTCCATTTCCTTTCTCCACCTTGGATCGTCTTCAAGTTAGCATGTCATGTCTGTACCATATTACACTGAAACATAATAAAGCCATCATGGTTGATTGTATGGATCCTACTTTATGTACATGCCTACCAAAAAAAATGTATGTGGGTGTGTTTCACAAACACTGTATTTCAGAACATTTATTTCCCACAAAATAGGCAATAAATGTAGCCAAGAACCCATGTAGGCTGCCTCGTACCTTGGGAAAATTCTGAATGGTGCAGAATATTTCCACTTGGAGGGTGGGAAGCCCCAGTCCGTCCAGCACATGCTTCCCCACCACTTTGCAGATGGTGGGCGGCTTCGCAAGTTTAGACAAGCAGTTCGCCTTTAACACAGGAAGATAAAAGTCAGGATACCACACCTAACTTACCTTTCAAAGGTCATTCACAGTGACTCTAGTTTCTAACGAACTCCCCCCCCCCCCCCCCGAGTGTCCTCCTCGTGTCAGGATGAGTCTAGCTGCTCTGGGAACTGCCCCGCCCTCACTCACAGAGATTTGGGTGTCACCTGATGTTGAGTCTCTGATATATGGGGTGATTTGTTGTCTTTTCAACTCTCAGCAGAAACTCACATGCATTTCTTAGTTCAAGGCCCTGTGTCATCTTTTAGCTGGCCCTCACCTATCCCTCCAAGATACCAGCGTCAATTGGTCCCTAGAACACGGATGCATTAAAACTTAAGAAACCTTACGTGGGCCAGTTTTTATTCCTCCCAGCAAGGCCTCTGATAATTTAATGCTGAAGAGTTCTGCAGAGGCTGTTCTGCACTGGCCATCGGTTCACGCATAGAATTACCCCATTTCCTTTCTCCACCGGGTCGAAGAGGATTGTTGGAACCTTGGTAATCGCACTGTCATTGATGTGGGAGAAGAGCAGGAGCCATGTGGGAGCGATCCAAGAACGAGATGGAAGAAAGAGAATGAAGCTGAGGTGGAGAGCCCACTCAAGGAGCCCGAATAAAAGGATTCGAGATGGTGTTTCTACTCAGGAGCTAAGACAGAAGGTGCAGGGCTCTCTAGTAAGCACGCCAGGCTCATGACTCAGCATTCTGGACAGGTCTCAAACTACCAGGGCCTCTCTCTGCACGACCTTTCTCCCTGCGGCAGGGTGATCGGGTGTCTTTGTGAGCAGCAGCATGATGACTAGATTCTAAGAGGGACTGTTCCAAGACTACCTACCAGACGATAAAAGCCCGTCACAAGGCCACGTTCTGAGTCACGGTGGAAGGGACTCTCACAAGTCCGTTCACTCTGGTGGTGTGGTTCATTGGGGACCACCAAGATGACAGTCTATTATAGGGCTAAGCCTCTGCCTGATTCGCAGTCACACACACTTTCAGCTGTGAATTTTGTGAGGAAGGAATAAAGAGTATTGCTATTGCCCACAAGGACCTGAATCCTTTAATATGTAAGAGAAGTGCCCTGGCCGGTTTGGCTCAGTGGATGGAGCGTCGGCCTGCGGACTGAAGGGTCCCAGGTTCGATTCCGGTCAAGGGCATGTACCTTGGTTGCGGGCACATCTCCAGTGGGGAGTGTGCAAGAGGCAGCTGATCGATGTTTCTCTCTCATCGATGTTTCTAGCTCTCTATCCCTCTCCCTTCCTCTCTGTAATAAAATCAATAAAATATATTTTTAAAAAAATGTGTAAGAGAAGCATGCAAGAAATGGCATTTGAGCTCAACACTGAAGAAGGTGCAGTATTTCAACAGGTAGACGATAGAAATCCAGTGTAGATACTTCTGGTAGATGGACTAGGATAAGGAAAGGGGAGGGAGGTGTGAAACTTCTGGCTTTAGGGGAAAGTGGGCCGTATGGAGGAGTCAGGGAAGGTTACCAGAGGTAGAGAGGGGAGCGCTATGAATCACACACGGGAAAGTGTTTGATCTTAACTCGGCAGGCAAAGGGTAGCCACAGGAGTTTACAAGCAAAAGAATGATGGTCAGATTTAAGATCCGGAACATTGCGCTGGCAGCACTAGGCGCGATGGACACAATAGAAGGAGAGACTAGGTGAGGATAAGAAAGGCTCAACTAGGGCAGTGAGAAGGAAAAGGAAAAGGAGGTTACTTTTTTGCCCACCCAAATTCCTTAACAACCTGCAAAGTCCAAGCCAAAACTTTCCCAGACACTACAGCCGACAGGGATCTTTCCCAACCCTGAATCCTTTAGTAAGTTTAAGTGATCTGTCCCTCAGTCTAGCACACAACGGTATATCACCTTATCTAGTATCCATTTTAAAAAATATATGGCTTTGCCTCTAACCAAAATATAAACTCTCGGAGAGCTACGCAAACTAAAGTCCTGGCTGCCTGATAGACTGGGAAGAGCATTACACCAGGGAACCAGAGTCCAAGTTTCCAGTCTCAGCTTTTGCTCTAAGTGGCTATGAGACAAAAGCTTGGTGTCTTTGTAAAATGAGGAGCTTGGACCAGTTAACTTTCAAGATTTCCTCTAGCAAGAAATAGTAGACTTCAGAGTTGCATTCATTCATTCATTCATTCCTCCATCCTATAAATAGTTTGGGAGTGTCCACTATGTACCAGGCCCTTTGCTGGGTGCTAGGGACAAAGACCTGGTTTGATTTCTCCCTGCAGTTCTTTGTACCCCTTGGGAAAAATTTAAGTTCACTGGGCCAGTTTATTTGTAAAATGGGAACATAATTTTTACCTCACAGGGGTCCCAAGGATTAAGTGAAATAACATAGAAGGCACTTAACACAAGGAACGCAATACACGCCTCGCCCTCAGTCCACCCCAAACTTTGATGTAATAGGCCACGAGAGAAAAACAAACATCCCTCAAGTATCCTCTGAACCCACTGTCTCCATAACATGTGCTTCTGAATCCTGTAAACACATCCGGCTTCTTCATAGCATTTGCATACTCTGCTCGTTGTCACACCTCACCATGGTGCAAACTCCTGCTAGTCCCGACCACCACGCAGCCTTCCAGAAGGTGGGTGTTGGTTAATACTTATGGGCGTGGAAGCGAGAAAACGCTTGCCTTTGTTTCAACTGCTCATTGCTTCAGGCTAAGGTTTGTGCCAGAAATCGCACTGGGCACAGCAACCAGGAAGGTGATAGGAAAAGGCACCTGCTCTC